TCATTCCCCTTGTAGCTCATAGTAACTGTAGTTTTGTTTTCCAATAGGTGACACACATTGCGACCTTTACCAAGGATTGTCAATTCTAAAAAGTCCTCTTCCACAATGAGCACAATGATTAGTGTGTGGGCATGTATAAGTAACTTTTTGTGATGCAAGTAGCTGTTGTAAAGAAAAAGTATATACTATAGTATTTTTCCTCTTCAGAAGACATTCCCCTTGCTAACACTATATAGGACACTGTAGCTTTGTCTAAGAACAAAAAATAATCATATATTTGTAGAGAAAATCTAAATTAGTGTATTGCCTTTGCCTTTACCTCAGTTCATCATACTTACCCGATAAAATAGTAGAATTAAGTTCAATTAATCCACTATTTAGAAAAATGGATAAAATAGTAATTAAGTTTAATTAATCAACTATTTAGAAAAATAGATAAAACAAAACACATGTGCTTCTTCATCTAGTTAACAAATTAAAAAGAAGCACATCGCATATGAAGCCGAGAATGTAACTATTTGGAAATCTTGACATTCACCTTGGAGCATGTGTCTAGGTATACACACCTTGCATGCTATAAATTTATTTGTAATACAATTTGAACTATATCAAATAGGCTTAAGATACTTGTTCTCGTTGGTCAATATTTGCAAATTTCGAATAGAAAATTCTAAAAATTGACGCATCTAAATTCACAATTCAAGGATTAATGCAAGGTACAAAATATTTGTGATGATCTAATTATAGATATTTTGAATGTATTCAAATGCCAGGTGAGAATTAATCAAGCATTTGGTAAATTATATAACGCATACTCGAGTTGCTACATACTAAAAAATAATCAAATTTGATTGAATTAATAAACTTGAATATGACAAGTTNGGTCTAATTATAGATATTTTGAATGTATTCAAATGCAAGGTGAGAATTAATCAAGCATTTGGTAAATTATATAACGCATACTCGAGTTGCTACATACTAAAAAATAATCAAATTTGATTGAATTAATAAACTTGAATATGACAAGTTATCAAAAGATAGAATGTATATTAATGGAAGAAACAAAATACAAAGATACAAATTGACAATAAGTAAAAGAAAAGTCACATGTCCAGATATTAATGATCATGCAACTGACTTTTACTCAAAAGGCATTATTTTAAATTGAAAAACCACCCCTCTAAGAGATGAAATAAAATTTTGATCAATAACATTATGCATTTGACAATAATTTTATACAATTTTTTTCTCCTTGTCACTCTAAATCTTATCACATAGATTGTGTAGACGCTTCAATTTAGCCAGTATAATCTTTGAAGACAAATTGTAAATTTTCAATTCTAGGTAGAAAATTAGATAATTAAAACTATAATGGCAGAAAAAATGATGGTGGAGAAATATAGCAAGAGAAATATATTTCAGTTGATCAATCTAACTCCGATAATTTTATAGTCATACATGCCCTAACTGTACTGGGAACAAATATACAAGAAAAGAACTGCACTTTTTTCATGCTATTCAAGACAAAATCAATAGCGTTGATCTAGATCCACATCATTCCATGATACTGTACCAAGAGGCATTACAACTTTCTTAATTAAGCTACTAGAAAGAAATATCAATTGCATCTTCTCTAAACAATCACACAAAAAAGTAGCTTAATAGTTGAAGCATTCATGAGGTTATTGAGCAATGAATAAATAGAAAAATCCACTAACGTCAAGCTTGCATGGCAAAGATGGTTGAAGCTAGAGCATTACTTCCAGTAAAAGAAGGTTCATTTTATTCCAGCTCTTAACAAACATGTGAAGAACAGTCGGAAAAGCTGCTATGACAACAAATTAGAGTCACAAATCTTGGTTGTAGAATAACAACTAATTCTAAACAATCAAGAGAAAGAGATTAGGAGAGCGNCCAGAACTCTCATACATGTGAAGAACAGTCGGAAAAGCTGCTATGACAACAAATTAGAGCCACAAATCTTGGTTGTAGAATAACAACTAATTCTAAACAATCAAGAGAAAGAGATTAGGAGAGCGACAAATGGTAAAACAGATTTTTCAAAACGCAAGCCAAATTAGAGAGAGAAAGAGGGACGTCTAGATGGGTACCTGAAAAGTGATTTGGATAGTCATTTGGAATATGGAGGGAGACGAAAGAAAAAGATTTAGTCATCAATACAATTAATTATTGAACTAGTAAGGAATATGAAGAGAAAACAAATAAGAGTTTCAAAAATCAACACAATTATTAATAATTAAATAGGTAAATGGGCAAAAATATTAGCACCAAGACAATTACGGTAAGTAGGTAAATAAAAAGCATCAGTGACAAGACTGACTTTAAATGGTGGAGAAAAGCTAAAAAAGAAAATCAAAAGTTTTGAACAATATCTATAATTTACAGTAGTAGAGGTTGAGATATAGATATAACTATACATGTGGAAATGAAAGTATATAAAGGGTCATTTGCATATTTAATTAATATTAAATAATTAAATACATGAGGATTTATGTGTTTTTCATCTTTTTGACGAGGATATAATAGTTAGTCAAAAGTTTTTCACTTTGTTGTCAGTTATTAATAGTATACATATAGATATAGATATAAATAGATAGTGATGCATTAGACTNACATAATAGTTAATCAAAAGTTTTTCACTTTGTTGTCGGTTATTAATAGTATACATATAGATATAGATATAAATAGATAGTGATGCATTAGACTTCTCATAGTAATTCACTATTGCATATAAAAAATGGAGAAAAGATAAACTCATTAGAAGAAATATCAAGAAACAATTAGTGTAAATCATATCTAGTGCTTGGAAATAAATTTAGATCTTTATGACTAGCGGGAGATAAGGTCGGATAAAAGGCCATTCAAATTCGTTTACTTATTAAATGAATTGGGCTCAAACTCTATTTTAAAATCGGACACACTTTGTAAACAAATGAGCCAAGCCCAAATAATCTAATACTTGGCTTGATATGGTTCATTAACTCTCTTTTATATCCGATAATGCAAAAAATAGGCTTATGCACAATCAACAGTTAAGTGCATGATTTAGAATAATTAATGAAGCAATCAATAAAGCAATAAATGAAAGAAACAAATATTGGATCAACAAAAATAACGCACAGATATATAATGATTCAGTTAGGGTGACTTACTCTACGTTGAAAATGGCAACGGTGGCTGGTGGTTTTTATTGATGAAATGGTAAGGGGGAGAGAGAAAGAAGGTATGCTCTTGGTAGCTATGAGAGAGATAGTTATACAAGGTGTGTAGAGAGTTTACAATTTATAAGAATAGAGCCTTGGTTGATGCGGTGACGTGATGGATAGGTTACTAGCTTTTTATAACTACAACTAGGATAGATACAATTAAAAGTAGTCTTGATCTTCGAGAGCTGCTATTCCGATGATTACTCCTCATGTGCGTTAATCTTCTTGGATCCATTGTACTTTAGGTTTGAACCAAATCTATTAATTGAGCCTGACCCAGTTGAATCTGGGCTCATCATTTGCCCCCCCATGCCCTAAGCACTCATTGCTTGCGAGGGGATTGAGGGCATGCGTGAGCTCCAAATAGGCAAAAGATTTCTTCTTTTGCACGATGACTTCTTCATTCATCTGCAAAATTTATTCCCTTATTTGGCAACACCGCATCTACCGCTTTGTTAACTATCAACCCTGTGTTAGGTTCTGCACTACACTTGGACTCCCTTTTTATCTAGAGCACNAACTACAACTAGGATAGGTACAATTAAAAATAGTCTTGATTTTCGAGAGCTGCTATTCCGATGATTACTCCTCATGTGCGCTAATCTTCTTGGATCCATTGTACTTTAGGTTTGAACCAAATCTATTAACTGAGCCTGACCCAATTGAATCTGGGCTCATCATTTGCCCCCCATGCCCCAAGCCCCGTAACGAACGCTCCCCTAACTCCCGTACGCACTCGAGGTTTATCCGTTTTCTAAACTTCTTTTGCACGATGACTTCTTCATTCATCTGCAAAATTTATTCCCTTATTTGGCAACACCGCATCTACCGCTTTGTTAACTATCAACCCTGTGTTAGGTTCTGCACTACACTTGGACTCCCTTTTTATCTAGAGCACCAACCCTTAGGATCTTAAAGAACATTCCCATCTTTTCCCAAAACATCTCCTTTGGAACTAGGGCTTAGAAACACCCTTCTCCTCATTACTCCATAATCCATTAAGAGAGAGGCTTAGGAATATGATTGGGAAAGAGATCTCAACGCCAAGGGGAAACACGGAGGAACCCATGATCGGCACCATTGGTTCCTCCGTATTCAAGTAGATCGGTGGCCAAGGAGGCGATGGAGCTAGCCCTGCCAGTGCAGGAAGGCTGGGGAACACCCATGGAGCGGCTAACAACGGTGCATTTGGCGATGTCACAAGAGGCAACGAAGAGGGCGACGCCACAAGGGGCATCGAAGGCGGTGCCCATGGTGCNATTTATATAATATTTTTCATATCCAATGCAATATATCACTTAAATAGAATTATTTGGATACCCAATTAGAGAAAATTTTTAGTCATATTTGGATTCTATAGGAATATAAGTGTAATATTTAAAATGTAAGGGGTCTACTGTAATTAAGTGATAGGGGGTCTAAATATAATTTATCTATTTAATTTTAGATCCCAGACGGACGACTAATTCTATATTTGAGAGTATAAATTAAAATTTTTAATCTTTAAGAGTATAAATTAAAATTCAAATAATATTTCAGAATGCAATTTGAGATTAACCCAACAAATACACTCAAAAATTAGTTTTCTCATAGTACACTTTTAATACACTAAAAATGTTGCAATGGACCCTTTCATTCCGTTAACAAATATAATTGTTAAGGGTGAGAAGTAAAAATTCTTAAATTTTGAAGGTAGAAAGTGCCATTCTCCCTTTTACTATTGCAAAATTCTTAAAGAACCTACGGAGGGATAGACCACTCTGTACACCCTCTTCTGCCGACTTTCTGGTCCGACGGTGAAAACTCACCTCCTGGCAACCCCGGCAATATCTCCGATCAGATACCCCAGCAGTGAGACCTCCACCACTACTTCAAAAAGGTAATATTTGATTGATCGCATTTTTTCTTGTTTTTTTTTTTTTAAAAATTTTGTCGTAATGTGTTGGAACATGGTTTAGTTGTGAAATATGTGCGAAAATTTGTAATAATTTCGAAGTCAAACTGTTATCGGATGGCACTGAGTACAGTTTAATGGTGATTAATTGTTAAATTTCGTGTCTTTTAATGTAATTTTTGAATTTGAAAATCATACAGTTATAGCCACTTCAGTTATATTCTTTGCTGTCTTGAAGTAAAGATAGGTTGATGCAGTTGTCCTTCACTTCGATAATTATTGGTGGGAGGGACACCCTTCTTCAGTCTTTTCTGTAGGTACAATCCTTCTTCCCCTTCCCCCCTCCCCCCCTTTTTTTTTGAGCTGGGGGAGGGGGAGGAGGAGGAGGAGGAGGGGTGGGGTTGTAACCCACAACCACCGGGCGAGAGTGAGTCTTACGTTACGAATGGGTCACTTATAATCAGAATCAAATCTGAAACTATATTGTTCTCTTTTTCTTCTTTCAAGAAGGGGAAAAGAATCCCAGGTGCTCGCGTTGATTTTAGGTACAATCCTTTCATAATCCACCCCTAAAGAAAACCCAAAAAAAAAAAAAAAA